ACTGACAGAATCTTAGTAACAGGATTTGACCCCACCACCTAATTATTCCAGAAATGGCTTCTTAGAAAGTCTGCCCTTCATTTATAATTATGATGCACTCTTGTGAAATCTAAGCAGATAAATGCGGTCAAATTAGGACGCCACTGAGAGAAGGAACCTAAAACTGAATATATTTGCCGCTGGAACTAGGAATTCAACTCAAGATCAACACAGATCAAATGTGTCCCCTGTAAGCAGAATTAATCAGCCCTATAAATGCTCTAACATGGTACAAGGCAGTATTTTTCTCAGGAAGTGACTTCCTGAAACTTTCTACTGAGGAATATATTCCATCTTAATTTCAATATGCCATCCAAAATTATCCTACAAAAAAAGGACACAGATTTAAAACATCTGGCCTGATACCAAATTGTACAATTACATTCTGCTTCTTTGAATTCACTGTGTTGTAAGAATCCAGACACTTTTTTTAATCTTAAACTGTGGAATGGTGATCTTATATTAATGTTGTTAGCCCACTGTGGGCCATTTCAGCACTGGGTGAAAAATTATCTTCTTACCTGTCTAAAGGTGTCTAGGGGAACAGCTTCATGTGAGCAGGGGCCCTTAGATCCCCCTGAAAAGCATCATGGTGGAGTAAAGTCTCAAACCAACTTGTGGTTCTTGGCATAGAACAGGATCATTGTTGTGTGACCTGATTTCATTTCAGCGACTGTCTCAGTAGAGAATGACATCATCCCATTCTTTTTCCTTGATCTCCACTTGTGAATGTCCCCCAACCCTCACCTTCATTATAATTAAACTGCTTCCCCCTGCCAGGGGAAGAGCTATTTTCCTCTTAACTTCCTGCCGGAATGTATCATTATGGCAAGAGCAAAGGATTCTTCTTGGGTCAGTCAACATCCCTGCAGTTTGCTTCCTCACCATATCAGACAAAGCACTATTTTATTGGAAGCTGAAGCATATTTGACAGGGCCATCTGCTGGGACAGGTCTCAGTCAGATGAGAATAGAGAGGGACCAGCCAAAGATGGCATAGTCTGATAGGCACAATGTTTCTCATTCAATTGAAGTTTGGTATTTTCTTTAACTATAGACTCATGGGCTTTGAGGATTGTGGCATGAAAAGATCCATATAGCTATGTGCATACATGTGTGCAAATTTGTGTGCTTATACATACTAACACTTGCTTACTGTTCAGATTTGTATTGAAAACTCACATGTGACAGTATTTAGTCTCAAGCAGATAAAAGGATGATGCAGAATATGACACCATTTAAAAAGTAGCCGGGCTCGGTGGCTCAGCCTGTAATCCCGCGCCTTTGGGAGGCTGAGGTGAGTGGATTGCCTGAGCCCGCGGGTTTGAGACCCGCCTGGGCAGCGAGACCTCATCTCTACAATAAATAAAAAAATCAGCCGGGCGTGGTAGCACATGCCTGTAGTTCCGGCTACTCGGAAGGCTGAGGCGGAAGGATCGCTGGAGCCCAGCAGGTCGAGGCTGCGGTGGCCAGGAGCGGCCACTGCACTCCAGTCTGGGCGACAGAGTGAGACTCCAACTCAAAAAAATAAAATAAAATAAAATAAATAAAAAGTGAAAAAAGCAATGAGAGTATATATTCTTCATGTTTCCAATTATGTAAAATATTAAGTAGTACTCTATAAAAATGCTGCATTTGGGGTCAAAAATAGTTAAATAGAAGAGATTTTCTATGATTCCACTTACTACATATTCATATAAAAAAGACTGAATAGCCGAACACGGTGGCTCAAGCCTGTAATGCCAGCACTTTGGGAGGCTGAGGCGAGAGAATTACCTGAGCCCAGGGGCTTGAGACCAGCCTGGGCAACTTGATGAGACCTCATCTCTACAATAAATCAAAAAATTAGCTGGGCTTCATGGCACATGCCGGTAGTTCCAGCTACTTGGAGGGCTGAGGTGGAAGGATAGCCTGAGACCAGCAAATCAAGGCTGCAGTGGCCGTGAGTGTGCCACTGTACTCCAGCCTGCGTGACAGAGTAAGATTCCAACTCAAAAAAAAAAAAAAAGACTGATTGTCTTTTTGTATGTGTGTGGGTTTTTTTTTTTAACTCTTTAAAAAATTCATATCAGGCAACTTTTACATGGTTTTACAACAAATATGTAATTTTAAATGACTTGGTATTCTATTGAGATTTTATTTATGAGAAATGTTTCAAGATTAGTTAGGATGATCCCAAAGGAAAAGAGCCTGCTTTTTGGCACCCCTAGATTCAGCTTTTTGTATTCTGTAGCAAACTTTAACTACTTATTAGATACTAAGACAAAGATAATTTTAGAAGTTTTTAGGGTTCGTGTCTAATTCTAATTCCTCATAAAGATGTCATTAACTACTGTGGACAATTTTAAAAATCATTTAAGTTTAAATTAATGTATTAAATTTAACTTAAATAATTAAACTAATATTAAAAAGTAAAGTTCCAAGGAGGCACAGCTAAAGCATACTTATAATAAAATTTTTCATCCCAAATAGGGCTAGGAAAAGTCTTAATTTTCTTACAAACAACATAGTTGCTATTGTATGTTATCCTATCTGTGTGCACCATTCCTCATCCAACAGTGCAATATTAGAGTCCAGAAGGTATAATAATGGTCATTCATATTTTGGCAGGTGTATTTTAAGTTGAAAACCAGGCTTCACAAAAAAAGAAGCCATCTGTTCCACAGGTGTGAACATTCTTGATGAGAACCCTCAAAATCTCCCCCAAGCTGTGAAATTTAATTGTCCTTTTGGTGTCTTATTATATGTCAATAAAACACATCTTTCCTCGGAACAGGAGATCATCTGGCAATCTGATAGACAGGAGATGCTTGGGTAGCCTCCGAGATTTGCTTATATCTCCCGATTCTGTTTCTTGGGTTATGTATTTTGTGGGTGATGCCAAGGTCAATAAACTACAGGCATGCAGTTCTCAAAGCTGGAAAAATATTAAGTGAAATAACTTTATACACAGATGGCATGAGCAGAGAGGCTATCAAAAATGCACAGGGCAGTGTTCTGAAACCCTAAGGTCCAATAAAGTGGTCCTTATTATATAAAACTGACTATCTGAACACATACAAAAAGGACCCATTTTTTGGTACAAAATTTCCTTGATGAAAGGATTGTGGCTATATGAATACAATGCAGTGATGGAAAGCGACTCAGCTACTTGTCTAATCCACCTTAATGATGGGGTTGGGTGAGGAGGGGCAGAGATCTCTGAAGCTAGCAGCTTGTCAAATATTAAATTGGAATTTTCCAACCCAAGGATGGAAAAAGCAGACTGAAGCCAGCTCTCATAGGGAGTCCCCAGATTTTTAAGAAATAAGTGCCTCGTGTTAAATTTGAACAAATGACTCTAATTGATTCAATATTAAACACATTTCTGTTTTCCCATAATAAGGAGATGCTGAGAAACAAAAAGGATATAATGCTTTATATGGTGAATTACCCATTAAGGAAAGAAAAATGTAAAATGGATGACTATATAACTTGACATTCCAGAAAAGTGACCTCTTCATAGCACAAAATAAACTAAGACAGATGCTTTGAGAAATCAAGTCTTCGGTGACCTCTTGGGAAGATACAGGGTGACCTCTAGTATTAATCGCTTTTCAGCCTTTACAGCGAATTCTGAATGGTATGATAGCAAAAGCCAGCTTCTTTCTTTTTCACAGAAAAATGAATGCATCGGTTAGATGTTCACACACACACACACACACACACACACACACACACACACACGTTTGGCAGATTGACTCAAGAAGATAAAGAACTCTATGAAGTTTCAGTTCTGTTCACTGAACTTATTCCTAAACAGGTTATCATTTTTAGTTTCAGTTTTGGAATATTTTCCTCTCCTATTAAAGTTTTGAAGAAAGGAGATCTAACTTCCAACTTGTCTTCTCTTACTGTTGATTCAGCTTGTTTATGACAAGCATCTGATACAGTGTAGTAATCAGCAATTAGTGGTAATACCCCAGACCATCTGCAGACAAAGCTATTTTTATAGAAAAACTGCTGACACTCATGATTTTATGGCAAGAAACTAACTCCAGTCTCCAATACACGTCCACCATCCCTCTTCTTCACTTATCATTGGTAGAATGCAGACAAAATGTTTAATTCCATAAATACAGTATTATTAAGGGAAGCTCAAAAGAAAAACATAAAATTGAGGCTTTGTTTTTGTGTGGCGTCCATAAACTTTTTGATCATTAGAGAACCTATTCCAAGTCAATCTAGGCCAACAGAAGGCTTAGCATAAAAATCAAGCAAAAAGCAATGATTTTGAACAGTGACAATTTAAAACCAAGAGGAGCTCAATAGTGTCCACTGCATTCGTTTTGGTTAGGGTCAGAGGGGAGCAACCCCGAGAAAAGACATTTGAGAAAAGACACATGAAGGTGGGTGACTAAGCTCATATGAACCCAACTCTCAAGACTGTTTCTGCAATCAAGGTCACATTGCCAAGGTGGATCTTCATAACCTTTCCTGGCCCCACTAACACTCTTGGTACTAATATTGATCTGGCCAAGACAAAAGACTGTGAAGGCATACTGCGAATAACTCAGGTGACATCTGAACGGTTTTTCACTCCTGACTCTGTGGAGTACATTGTGGATGACTGAGAGTGGCTGACCTGCCACACTGCCCCCTAATTCTTCTAAGCTTCCTTCTTGAACAGCTCATAGTATGCTAATGAGTCATATAATTGTGTAGCCATTTTTCAGATTTTTTTTTACATTCCCGAGGACTGATTTCATGACATGAGGACAGATTTCTGCCAGCTGTAGGGCGCCTCTGAGCTCTCAGTCGAGAAGAAGGAGAATGTGACAGAAAGGTGTCACCATGGCCTCCTCACTTTCTGCTAGTTCTTACGACTCCCCATTCATGAAACGTTCCCCTGTTCAAGTGGCATTGCGTGCTCAGGTGGCCCTTGGCTTAATTAAGCAAGAGATAAAAATTTGATATGAGTACCTTTGAAGATTTTCTGCAATTATTCTGTCTTGAATAACCTGCATGTCATTTGGCAGATTCACCTTCTTTAGATGATGGTAGGTGGTCGTCAGCACCTACAATAGAGAAGAGCCACAGTGCCATCAGTTGCATTTTATTAGTAATTTTTCCCTTCTTTCAGATGTTGCCCTTTGACAGTCTCAAAAGAAGATATCATTAGGAATAATATTCTCCAAATTTCATCCAGGCTGATTTTCTTACAATCACTTGCAAGAGTCTTTGAAGTATCATGGGTGATTCAGTCCTTTTGTACAAGTTTCATTTTAACCCCCTCTTCATCAAAGGAGAGACTTTCCATTAGATTCACTTCATATTATTCTTTGAATAGATGTCATAGAACCAATAAAAAAGAGTTTCTTTTCAAAAGTTTACAAAGTGTTCCAAGTTTAAAGGTTGAATGATGTCTAATTTCAGGTTAGGAGGCCTAGTTTAAGAGAACATGCGTTGAATCAAATTCTCTTAAAGCTGCTGTAAGCTATTATTTGATGAGCAGCAAAGAAAATATTTACAGGTGGTTAAATTTATTTATATTCCGAATTTATGACAGTTGAAAAATATAAGTGGCTAAAATAAATTTAGATACTTTGATTAGGAGGAAACACTCATTTTAAAACTTTAAGTACTAGACAAAACAATCTTGCCACCATGAATAGCACGTTTACACATTATATGCAAGTGTGAAATGATACAAGATAGAAGTGGAAAGAATACAAGATAGAATAAGGAAGCAGCACATCCTATTTAACAGCTCAAAGTTTCCTTTGTGTAAAAAAATTTATCTTCTTCATGTAAATATGAATATTCCATAAAACATTGTGCTTGGAGCCTTCTTATTTTTCCACTGGTGGATACAGTTGTACGTAGGAATACGTAAGGGGGGACCTCAGAGGTAACGAGTGTGGATTATTTGCCTCAACAGACCTGGAATCTCCTCTTGTGCTGAACTGTCCTTGGTGAGTCAGGTTAACTGCAGGCAGTCCCAGGTTCTTTGGTATGTTCTAGAAGCATCACCCCTGCCATAAGCCTGCTGCAGCAGTGCCTCCCTGGAGCCAGCCTGGAGTTGCAGGGTTCATTTTCCTCCCACGTCACCCTTATCATATCTCTTTCCACTCCAGACAGCAGGAAAACTTCTCCACCACTTGCTATCATCTGGCACACCCCACCCATTAGGCTCTAGGCCACTCCCCTCCCTGTGCTTCTCATTCTGGGAGCTGGGAAGTTCTGGAAGAACTTTTTCTTTCTTTGAGTCAGGGTCTTACTTTGTGCCCAGGCTGGAGGGCAGTGGCACTGTCACAGATCACTGCAGCCTTGACCTCCTGGACTCAGGTGCTCCTTCCACCTCAGCCTCATGAGAAGCTGGAACTACGGGCACGTGCCACCATGCCTGGCTGATTTTTTTTTTTTTTTGGTACTGACAAGTTCTCACTATGTTGTCCAGGTTGGTCTTGAACTTCTGGGCTCTAGCAATTCTCTTGCACCGGGTTTCCCAAAGTACTGAGATTACAGGCATGAGCCACTGTGCCCAGCCCTTGGGGGAACTTTTATATCCTGTTTCCACATCTCTGATAATATCATAAAGTATTATAAGCATCATTCAGATGTCCACCTTTTAGATGTGTTCTGAGAGGACATACACATGTTCATGCTTATAATTATGCGCACATCTCATGATCGCCTGAAGTAAAAGTTGACATTAAAAAATGATGCCAAAAGTAGCTGCCAGCGGTCATAGCCTAATTGTGGAAATAACAACAGTTGTCCTGAAATTGTTCTGAATATGCTACTGGGCATATTCTAACTCTGGAATTGGATGCCTGATCCAGGCGACAGCATTCACTGACTATGTGGCCTTGGTGCCTTACTTAACTTCTCCATACCTCAGTGTTTTCTTCCAAGTGGGGATGAGAAATGGTATCTATCTCATAGGATTGATGTGACAATTACATGTGGGGAGTCACCACACCCATATAATTTTTAAACTTTTCTGTTGAGACAAGGTCTAGCTGTTGCCTAGGCTGGTCTTCAACTCCTGAGCTCAAGCAATCCTCTTGCCTCGGCCTCTCACAATGCTAGGATTAAAGGCATGAGCCACTGCCCCCAGCCTAAAAACAAATTTATTTTTTAGTTTTAGCAAAATGGCATCATCTGGCAAATAAAATAAATATTAATTATAATATTGTTGGTTTACAGTTTTGCTTACATTTCATGAGACTGATTTTGGATTTCTAATGCTATAAATATAATTACGTCAATGTGTATTTATAGCTATGCAAGCATAAAGCAACTTGTACCTAGGGATATTTTTTTGTACTTAATTCAGTAACATTTTAGTAGATAAGAATGTCAGTCAATCCTGGAGCTCCAGGGTCCTTTGCTCAGGTTGAGACAAGCAGCTTGAGAGCCCCACCTGTACAGCCTTCCCAAGGTCCGACCCAGGAAATGTCCACTCCCAGAACGTTTCCATCCCTGCTTTTTTTTACCTGAAGAAGTCTGCTTTCTTCCCTTCCACATATTAAAATTCTAAGCTCCCCCACTCTGGGATCAGCTGAAATCTCATTTTCTGACAACCTCAATTTTCATTACTCCCTCTCACCAGAACTCCTACTGCACTTAAAACCTGCGCCACCCAGCGCAGCACGTCGTTGTACAGTCTCTGCCACTGTCGCTGTGGCCTACATGGATGATGGTCTTGTCTCTCCAAGCGGGTTTTAAGGTCCCTCTGAATGAGGGTTGTGTCTAGGGCTTTGTCTCCATCTTATGGCTTCACGATGTGGCCCCAGTAACTACCAGATGGTGACTGAGCTCACTGTATAGTCAGGGTTCGAGTCACCGATGGATCTTTGGTTTATTTTAGAAATTATTCAAGTTTTGGTTAAAAATATCTAATATAAGACCCTGAATGCTTCCTCAAGCAAGAGCAAATTTTTGGCCCACGGTCCTGAAGCTGAGTCATACACCCCTAAACCGACCAGTGAACCAGGGGTCTAGCTGTGGGTCATTTTGTCTTTTTCTTAAAACTCAGACCAATGATATTTTTCTGTCATCAATGACTTTGTGACTGTGTGTGTGTGTGTGTGTGTGTGTGTGTGTGTGTGTGTGTGTGTGTGTGCAGGGAGAGAGAGAGAAAGAGAGAGATAGAGACAGAAGAAGAGGGAGAGGTAGGGAGAGAGATGACGAGGAGGGATGAGAGAAAGAGAGATAGAGAGACAGAGACTGACAGGACAGAGAGAGACAGAAGGAGAGAGAGAGGGAGAGGGAGGGAGGAATGTGGAGAGAGGGGGGAAGAGAGGGAAGAAGGGAATGCCGCTCATGAGTGTTCCTAAAATGAAGGGCTAAGGGTAAGGCTGGAAGACCTCCAAAATCCCTTCTTGCTCTAAAATTCTATAAAGTGTTGGCACATATGGCCATTAATTTGACATTACCATCTACAAATAAGTGTGGGTGTGTGCCAGAATTTCACCTGTTGATAATATGTCGGGAAGTTAAGCTTGATCGTTTAACAGCTGCACTTTAAGAGTTTGGCTTGGCGTCGCTCTCTGTGTTAGTGTGTTATTGCACTTAGCACTTAGGAATCCATGTTATAAAGCAACTAGATGATTGAACTGAACCCTCTTGGCTTCCTCAGTTGTTCAGAGACCGAGCTGCATTTCCTGGCTCTCCAACTTCGTAAACTCATCAGATTTTGCTGCAGAGAAATGTCATTAAAATAACACTAGCACCATTCATAGTTAGTGAAATGCTGAGACAGTTAACTGATATTTTAAAACGGTGAGTCGGAGGTGTTTTTCTATACTGTACACATCCACACGTGGAGACAGACGTGTACGGTAAATGTGTATTTTTCTGATGTAGTTGTCCTTTAATTGTCTCGTGAAAGTGGGTTTGGTCTTGTTGTTGAAGTGCATTGTGCCTTTGCTCCCTCACCTTGGAAAGTAATCACTGGTTCCAAACTGCATTCCCAAAGGGGTTGTTGGAAGGTCCAAAACGTGCTTGTTAGGGAACTTGCGCTGAGCCACGCAAATCTTGCCATCGTGGATGGTGCATGCATGTGGGACTATTACTTCATGCACGATGACATGAGACCAGAAAACATGTGAGCAGGAAGCCAAACCCAAAAGAGAGCTGGGGAGCATCCAGCTTTCCGTGGAGCACAAAAATGAAGCAAAAGCCAGCAAGATTCTGGACTCAGGTGTCTGGGGGACTACACATCTGCGACCCATCCACTCTTCAAACACTGCGGAGGCAGGCACAGTGGCCCTGGCAGGACCCAGTCAGGAGTAAATCATTATGTCAGCAGACCCAAAAAGATCGTGAGGGTGGAGCATTTGCTTATGAGCCAAGATTAGATGGCTTGAGTAATGTAAATGTGGAATGACCGGCACCGTCTATGGAAGCTCAGTATAGTCTTCATACTTTCAATTGCACTAGTGGGAATTTTCTCAAATATATCTTGCTGCTGTTTTAAATAATAAGCTTTCCCATGATGCAAACTCATCTGATTCTAAAGTATATATTTGGTGATTATTTTGCATAACTGAGATGTTAACAGTTCCTTTTTGGGACTCTTCAAATTTTTTTTAACAGCAAAAGCATTTTAGCAAAAATAGAAATGTTTTTCATCATTTCAAAAGTCAAAGATGATCTCTGAAGTTTGGTAAATTCTGAGGCGAGTCATCAGAAGTTGGATGAAATTCAGATGACAATACTTATCTTTCCAATAAGTGATAAAGACTCTTCATATTTAGAGGTGAAAATAACTTCTTAAATCTGTTTTTAAATGTGTTGATACAGTCTACCTACTAGGAAGAAATATTATCCGGCTTTGCAAGACTAGCCATAAAGTCTGGGGCTAAGCCCCTTTCGTAATAAATGGCATTTGCTCTGATGTGTTCAGGTAGGGTAAGAGCTCTGAAATCCAGGAAATCCGATAGAGGCTTTGCCATAGAAGATTAAGTGCTGAGCAGAGAAGGGTGAAAGGGTATAAGAAAACCAAGGTTATCAAGTAATCAGACCCCAAGATTTAAAAAGTCACAGCTTCCTGTCTACTAATCAAATTGATTTCTATTCATTCGAAATGTTAAAATTCTTCCAGTTGTCATCTTTTAAAAGTTCACAAATGCTACCCGCCCCTTCTTTCCAATTAAGCACTGTTCAAGAATATGGGAAGAACTTTCTGGTCACACTGAAGAAGGACAACATGACAGTAGACTAAACAATGGCCAAGTAAGAAATGACCTTCTTTGCTTAAGTCTTTGAGTCTTCGTTTAAGGGAAGTGAAAAAAAATCTCTGCTAAGGGAAGGGCTTGTTTTTGATGAGTAAGTATTAATTCTTTGGGAATATGTGCTTTTTATAAGTAAGTATTCTACTAGCCTGTAGATTTTTTTTTTTTAAGTCTCTGCTCATTTCTGAAGTCTCAGAGGAAGTAAAAATTACTCTTTTCGAGGGTAGACATAGCTGTTGCAGGATGGCCCTGGTCATGGACTTACTGTCGAAAAGTTAATGGGATAACAATCCACAGGACAGCAGGAACTCGAGATAAAGGTCTGAGCCCAGCGAGCCCAGATAGTGATGTTTCATGGAAGCATTAGAACATAACAGGGAGAGTTCAGTCTTTATGTTTCTCCTAGAAATTTCAAAGAGAAAAATCAAGCCATTTTTTTAAGGAGAAGGAGGTGTCACCATATTGCCTTGTTGGGAGAACATGCACTATTCACAGTGCACTATAGCCTCTGACTCCCGGGCTCAAGCAATCCTCCGGCCTCAGCCTCCCAAGTAGCTGGTGTGTGCCACCACATCTGGCTGGCAATTGTATGCATTTTTAAAAACTGCTTGTTATTTTTACTTAATGTTGTAGTCTAACCTCTCACAGACAGTTTAACCCAGTATTATTCCAATCAACTCAATTTTCTTCTATCAACCTGCACCTCCTCGTTTCATGGCATTCCATTATAGCTACCCAGTAACCCAAGCCCCGACATTTCCTTTCCTTCCATTCCCTTTATCTAGTTCCAAGTCAGGAATGTTCTACCTTCCAAATATCTCTGGAATCTGTGCCCTATTGTCTACCTGCACTGCCCAAGCCCTCGGCATTTCTCACTAAATCAATAGTCTCCTACCGGTGGCCCAGTTGATAGTATTGCTCGCCTCAGGCTTTTGCAGGCTTTTGCCCGCACTTCATAAGGGACACTAGATGAGCTACATAAAATCTTTCTATTTTCTTTTTATTGAATTTTCCTTAACTAAATAACTAGAATGGAGATAAAAACCTTTCTAAAGCTTCAATCCCATCTGCTCCCTGCCTTCTCAACCTCGTGCAAAGAAGTCCTTCTGTGTCTTTTCATTGATTAAAGAGTGATCCAGAAAATGAGTGAAGGAGCTTGATTGTTGCAAACACATAACACAAATAGTCCCTTGAACCAAACAATGTCTTAGTGATGTAGTGGATTTATATTTGGGCCCAAGCTTCTTTTCTCAACGTGAGTCAGTAAAACAAACTGCGGATCAGAGGCTGGTCCTTGGATGAGTTTGTTTTGCTGGAGTTAATAGGACCAAACACCTCAGCGTGAAGCACCATGATGCTGATGGTTGGGCCCCTCCAGCCCCCCCCCCCCCCCCCAGATTCAACACTCTAGCACCTTTTGATCCATTTCCTGTTCCTGGGCTTTCTTATAGCTCCTGCTCTCCAGGGCTCTGTTCTTCCTAATGCCCTTCCGCCCCCTACTAAGCAGTGAAAACTCAGACAACCAATGTCACCTCTGAAAAGTTCTTTGACTTTGACAAGGCAGACATAAGCACTCTGGCAGGATCTTACTCTTATTCATCTTTGTATCACTAGTGCTTAGCACAGTATGCAGTACATAGTAGATGCTCAATAAATGGATGAATGGATCGAAAGATGAAAAAACAGAGTAAATGGAAAAGCCTGAAAATGGACGGAAACACCATGATTTTCAGACTTTGTGCTAGATATTTTACACACATTATTTACTTTTAGTTCTTTCCACAGTCCTTTCTTTGAGGTTAGTAGTACTGGCCTTATTTGATACTTGTGAAACCTGAAGCTGAAAATCTTAGAGATCTTGCCGCTGGTCATATAACCAGATAATGGTCAAACCATGTCTCAAATCCAGATCTCATCAAAGTTTGTGTTCTTTCTACTATGATATGCCTTTGAGGCTAAGGTTGGGATTATGTGCTGATCTTTGTAATCAAGTTAGCTAGAGTATAGAATTTAGTGTTGAAAGATCACTTTTACATTTGATCATAAAAGCAACTAGGCTCCAATCTTATTTTCAACTCTAATTATGCCTTAGAATTTCTAGAAAATTCTAAGTGAAAATGTCATTTAAAGCAAATCTTAAAAATAAACAATTTGTAATGTTTCCCATGTTTGTTAGTAAATGATGAGTAAATAACTCTATTGTAACCTGAAACTTAATATAATATTTCTCCACTTGATCCATTTTGGACATTATATTATCATGTAAGATGATGAGTATTAGATATATATAACAAATATAAGAGTTCAAGATAATTAAATAAATTTGTATATACACACTAAAATATATGTACTATATATGGCTCTCACATTTGTTTGTCTAAAGATAAAGAAACTCAACCTTGATGAATTAATCACAGCACTTATGATATAAAAAGTGAGTAGCCTTGCTTTTCTACATTATTACCAATTTATATTGCACCAGGAATATTAAGACAATATATTTCCATAACTCATAGTATATCAAGTTATGATAATGATTTTATAAATGCAAATTGCATACTGAACCCCCAAAATTGTACAATTACCCAAAATAGAACTTTTTCCCTGGCTTGCTCAATTAGCAAATTACAGTTTCACTTCTTTGTGGAAAAGGCAATTTCTCTAAGCAATGAGCATCAATCTAGAGAAGAATACTTTATTAATCCAGCATTCTTTACAGAAACATAGTTTCATAACAGGGCTTTGGGATTTGCCTGTGCTTAAAAAATTGGTGCTCATGTTTCTTTAATATTGGAACCTTCAGCTATGCCGTGAAAAGTTTAATAAAAACTCACATGTCCACTGCAGTTAGTGTTTTTTACAGTTTACACAAGCCACTACAAGTTTCAAGTCTATGCTGAAAGATGGGATTTATTTCATAGTGTGAAAAGAAACTTTCAACGATTACATCCGACTGAAATTGTGAGTACCCAGGGCAAAGGAACTGAAGACCAAAGTTGCACCGTTTCTCGCTTCCTAACAAGCCAGGTGAATAACCAGGGCTCCTCTCTAGGGCGAGGAGGATAAGGGGGTGTGTGTGTGTGTGTGTGTGTGTGTGTGTGTGTGTGTGTGTGTGTGTGTGTGTCTCCTCTCTAGGGCGAGGAGGATAAGGGTGTGTGTGTGTGTGTGTACAGCCAGACATGACCAGCCAGGAATGCCATGAAAGTGACCAATTTCAGCACCTCGCCTGGGTACTATTTTGTTAAGTGAATTAATTATCCACAGAAACCACTTTCTCCTCCTATTTTAGTTAGGAGGGACCGAATTGGGTGGAGGACTTTGGCCCCAAACACACTTTTCCATCATCTAAGGATCTGAATGAGGAAAATGACTCTAATGAATAAACAATATGAAACGTACAAGGCCAGGAAGGAAAGTTTGTCTTCTTTCTTTTTAAAGCAAAAGCAGAGCATCATACTTACCAAAGCCGCCTTCAAAGTCTTCTCTAGAGAAAAAGCTCTGGGAACAGGGAGGAGGCAGAGGCGCAGAGATAAGGTGACAGCGGGACTTCCTTCCTCCAGAGGGGGAGAGTCATGCTCCTTATCTTCCCTGACCTCCGAGCTGCGCCGGGAACCAGGAAGGCCTGGCCTCTGATCTTGGCTGCCCTCCCTGCTGGCCTCTGCGCCTGGGGGTTCCCAATTGCCGATAAAGCCGCCCCGGCCTGACACCGGCCCCAAGATTCATTAGGGACTGTCTGCGAAGTGCTTGCAAGATGAAGACGGTTATATAAGCCCGCGTATTATCATCATCACACACCCCCATAAAACCAACGCTGTCAGACAAACAAAGGGCAGTTCCAAGAAGAGGAGGAGCAGAGGCAGAAGTTACACTGGGGGTGAATTTCGGGACATGCTGAACTGATGGGGGGGGCGGGGAGGCAACTCAATATGTGCATGCAAACCTCGGCAAACAAACAGTGAGCTGCAGCTGGCCGGCCGGGCAGGGAGGAGGGCGGTGGAAGGGGAGTCGGGGTTTCCAGGCATGCGGTTCCGGCTCCCCGGAGCACCCGGCACAGTAGCTGCCTGTGGCAGGATGGAGTGGATGAGGAAGATGTGGTATTTGGAAAGCCAGGCGTTCCAGAGACCAAGTGCTTAGTAAACACTGATGTTTCTTAGTCTCGCACCAGGTGCTTCTGCTGCTCCTTTCTTCCTGGTCTCTTGTTTTCCTAATGGTGGTTTGCAGGGAGCTCCCGGCGCCCTGCTGAGCCTCTGTTTTAAGCCTCTAACGGGTCTCGACTCTTTTCTCTGTGGGAGCAGTAAACTGGGCCAGAGGGCTCCTTGCGCCAGAGCCCCGGTCATCTGGGAAAGTTTGGACTTATTCTGAGCACCGAGCTCCCCTAAGCCCTCCTCCAACTTGCTACTCATATGTTATGATTATCCTGCCCTGCCCCTGGCCCTGTTTCTCAACACGTAAAGAAATTCCTCATCCTGGCACTCAAAGCCCACAATTTTTGTCTCCACGCTAACTTCCCACTTCCCATCGCGCCCTCCCGCTTCACCGACTCTCCAGCACTCTAGAATATAACTCATTCTCTAAAGATGGCCCAGTTCTCCATTTCCCATCCGTACTCACATCCCCTCATCTTCAGCAGGGAATGTCCTCACTCCCAGGTTCCCTTGAGAAAGCTTTCCCAAATTTCCCTTTTCTGCCTATTGACTGCTTCTCTGTTGCGATTCCCCGTGGTCTGTCTGTTTCTCACAGGTTTGGGATCTTGTGTTGTTCTTCCTGGTGACCTAAGACAGGGTCTTGCATAAAGTGGGTGCTTGGGGAGTGTTTGCTGAGCGAACTGACAGCGGACCCGGGCTTAACGGCTCTGCCACCACCTATGTGGGCTTAGGTGGGAGCCACCACAGGGCGGTGAATTATGTGGATTCCTGAGGGTTTGTGGTACCCCTTACTTCTGTGTGTTTGGCGCTTCTAAACTTCACTCTCAGCTTGCTTTAGGACATAAGTTTGTGAAGGAAACAGGAATGTGGGCATCTGTTGATCTTCTGCTACTGCACATAAGAGGACCTTTAAAGTGGAGCTTTCTTTACAGAATGCCAGGAAAATTCCCCAAAGGTGAGATTTTTCAGACGCCGCAGACTTCTGGGATGCCTTTTAAGGAGGGAACTCCTCCACTATTGAAAGAATGTGGCTATCCCAACAGCAGCTCAGCAAATGAACAACAGCTCTCTGGTGAATTGCTTTATGATATGGGGTGAAATGTAGAACATGAGCTGTCAGGTACTGCATTTCTTGTGGCTTTGTATTAAAGTGTTCTTGATGACATTTCCCCTGTTATTCTTTGGTAAAAGCAACGTGCTTTAAATTCCGTCTGTGGTAGTTGGGTCGACTGTGGTATTATTTAAGAAACTCGGGGTGTGTCTACACAGTACATGCTCTCAAGGCATACAGAGTGTTCAGTGAATTAGAAGAATTTTCCCGCCTCCACTAATTTGGAACAATCACAACCAATTCAGACTCAAAAGAATTTTAGCCTCGAGTTCTTGAGGATTTGGCTTCAGGAAAGACAGAGATCTCATTGCACTTGAGCAGTTCAAGTGTGGGATCTTCTCTCATTTTGTTATGCCCAGGTCAGGGCCTAAACATTTATTATAGTAACTACTTAGGAGTCCTTGCTAGGTTTCAGGCACTGAGTTAGATGCTTTACATACACTCTTAACCTCGCAATCATCCTAAAATAGAACTATTTTTTAAATCTTCTTTTGCAGGTGGGTAAATTGAATCTTGTCATACAGCTTGGAAAGTGAAAGAACTAGGATTTGAACCAAAGTCTGTCTGACTCGGGAGTCTATGATTTTTCCATTCTGCTAGAAGCTATAAGGGATCTTAGATATTATCTCATCTGCTAGTTTTCAAACTGGGTTCCAAGAAGCTCTAGGCTTTCCAAGAGCTACTTCAGGAATCTTGGCAGTGTGTGGGAAGGGGGTGAGTGTGAGGGAGAGGTCAGGTCAATCAGTCGTGGGCTCCCCCATTGCATTCAGATGAAGAAGTGTCATCTCCAACTGTTTTATAGAGTGACTTTAGATTTTATTTGAGACAAGGTTTTGCTACTCAAAAATGTTTTATCTTTTTTTCTGAGTTGGAGTCTCACTCCGTCGCCCAGACTGGAGTGCAGTGGCCGCTCCCGGCCACCGCAGCCTCCACCGGCTGGGCTCCGGCAATCCTTCCGCCTCAGCCTTCCAAGTAGCTGGAACTACAGGCGCGCGCCACCACGCCCAGCTAATTTTTTATTTATTGTAGAGACGCGGTCTCGCCAAGTTGCCCGAATGGATCTTGAACCTGCGGGCTCAGGCAATCCACTTGCCTCGGCCTCCCAATGTGCTGGGATTATAGGCTGAGCCACCAAGCCTGGACTACTCAAAAATATTTTAAAACTCTTGATATGATTTAACTTGCTCACTCAAAAGCATGGAACTTGGAGTTCAGAGAGACTAAATGCCTTTCCCAAGATGCTACAACTAAGGGTGGGAAGCCCAGCGTTAACTTCAAATGTCCAGGCTCTGTCTGAAACTACTGGCCTCCCGTGTCTTTTTTTTTTTTTTTTTTTTTTTGAGTTGGAGTCTCACTCTGTCGCCCCAGACTGGAGTGTAGAGGCTGCTTCCGGCCACCGCAGCCTCGACCTGCTGGGCTCTGGCGATCCTTCCGGTCAGCCTTCCAAGTAGCTGGAACTACAGGCGCACGCTACCACGCCCGGCTAATTTTTTTGATTTATTGTAGAGATGAGTTCTTGCCAAGTTGCCCAGGCGGGTCTCGAACCCGTGAACTCAGGCAATCCACTCACCTCAGCCTCCCAAGCGCGGGATTACAGGCTGAGCCACCGAGCCCGGCTCTCCCGTGTCTTTTATCTTCACTCGCTAAGTCACAGGGAAAGAGAGAGGATAGTCTGCAGTAAGGCTGAACTCTCTGACCTGAATGTGCGTCCTGACCGTGTTCTCAAAAAACAGACAGTGGGAATTCTGTCACATTGGCAAGCTAGACTATTTTTTTAGCCCTTTGGCTATAGGTCTAAAGTTTGTCAACCTTCACTTGGTGACAAATTAAAGTTAAATAAAGGGTTAAATATGTAATTTGTCTGGATGATTTAGAGCTCTCCTCTTTTCATTCACATCAAAGTGAGTAGTGAAGGATATTTCTGCAGGAGTCATTTAGTTAATTATACGGTCTTGGTCTGAGAGTACTCTTGCTAGAAAAACAGCTTAAACTCCTATTTTATCAATCTAGTTAAAAGTGGCTCTTCTCACATGCGACATAATGGGTGTGGGAAAGATATGACAGAGATCAGGTATGGTCAAGGGAACTCTCCTCTCATGTAAGTTGGCATAGTTTGTATGGACTGGCTTGTAAGGCCTAAAATTTCACCCGCCACCGTGTTTTCTCTGAGCCTTAGGGGCCTCCCAAAGACCCTGCTTTTACTTGAAATACGTGTCCCAACCCCAGTAGGAAAGGCTCCCCACTGCTCTCCTCTGTCAGCTGGGCCAGCCTCACTCCACCAGGTTCTCAGTCTAATGGGTTTCTCTTATTTGCCACCCACACAATTATTCAATCAAGCCAATTGCATCCTCCCTGGGAGCCCGCGGGCACCTCATCCTCTTGTTACTACCGCCTCCCACACCCCTGCTTGTTCATTCTGTGCCACAGCTGTGTGGCGCGGTATGGCGTGTATTGTTGTCCTTCCCTGGGCTGTAAGTATATGTGACTCATAAACTGCTGTGGATCTGTTCTGTCCAGTGCTGGCCGCCGTGGGTTTGGCCATCCCCAGAACCCCAGGGCGGGACTCCCTTCACCGACATGGTGAAGTAGAGGCGAACAAAACAATGACCAGACATGAGTACTAATACTAAATGGAATTTTCACAGCGAACTAGTGCCAAGTATCCCATCTCAGGCTATTTGCAAATAGAAATGAATTTAAACTGAAATTATGTGAGCTGGAACTGACCTTGATTAATTTCAGGACCCCTGCACTTTCTCATCTTTTCTTTTTAATTTTTAACATTCTTACCTGGAGACTTTTGGGAACAACAGAGTTGTTCTGTTTCCTGAAATGGTTTAACTACAGTCCTGCCTGAAGGCAAAGGAATAAAAAGATGACCCTTCTATCCTTGTCATTTAAATCTTTACTAACTGCATTCTTTCAGTAAAATGTAGCAGAAAGAATTTTTCTCATCTCCACAGGCAAGAGATTATAATAAACAGATCTTTTTCTTTCCATCAGAAACATCCTAAATTTAATATACTTCCAGAGTCTCAGCCCTAGAAACAAAGCTTTAGATGTAATTTCTTTCCTATTCATGAGATTTACAATAGGAAGGTCATGTTTGTACTAGACTTTGGTTTGAAATTAATCTTCTTTTCTCCTCGGCATTTCTATAGAATCCAGGCACTTCATTATTTAGTCATTTCCAAATATTAAATAGTTGTCATTCTTGAACAACGATCTAATCTTCCTTTTATGGGCGGAGAAGCTGAGTTGTGGAACTTGCAAATCATAGCCAGGACACAGATCACTCTAAGGTTATAGCTACTCATTGACATGCTTTTCTATTTATGTTCTTAGACGACAATGTAAAAATGTAAGTTGTTTTATAAGCAGCCTGTAAAATAACATCTTCCAACCATTAGAAAGTATTAATTAAAGCTCATTTGCATTCTGCCTTATGAGAGACACTTTTTGGAGTAACTATTTTCCTATCCCACAACCAACGTCAATACTGTAGTCACTTCCTCTATCTTCTGGACCGTGCCTCGTGCAGATCAAAATATATCCTTGGTTCAGTTGAACAAGGGTTCATTTAAACCACATCTGTTGCTCATCAAACCTCTATTTTCAGAGTGGGGAATTCTTTTTCAGAGATAG